TGGATAGAGTCTCATGCTTTTTGCCAAGGCTGGGCTTGAATTGCAATCCTCCCAATCACCATATCCCAAGTAGTTGGGATTACAGGCATGAGCCACAGTACCCGGTGTGCATTGATACTTCTTAATGACTTAATCCCATATAAAAGCCCCATCTCTCAATAGTACTACAATGGGTTAAATTTCCACGAGCGTTTCAGAGGGGCCAAGTCATAATCCAATCACAGAACATTCCCTTCAGGTGTGTGGAAGGAAGGCTTGTTTAAATGATTGCATAAATTACAGGTAAAGAAGCGATTCCACTCCATCCCATTCTCCCTCAAGTGGCCTACTTTTTGTTCCCTGCATCAGATTCCTTTCAGTTCTAAATGACATGAATGACACAAAAGTAAAAGTAAAAATGAAAAAAAAAGATGGGAAGGCAGCCCTGGGCTGTCACATTTTCCTGTGATGTGTTAAATATAATTATCACTCTCTCACTTGAATGTATACGTTCATGTGTGTGCTTGGTGGGCGCCAGTGCAAACACTCGGACAGGATATTTAAACTTGGGGTCAAGGATGAAATGCAAGACAAAGGACAATGGCTGAAACACTGATGCAATAAACCAAGGGAAAGTGTCTGCTGGGAACTTTCATGGATGTGAACCCTTTGCTAGATTTTGGATGCCAGGTGCATCTGTGATGCCAGAGGTGCATCCTTATGAGTGTTTTCATGTAGTGTATTTGTTTATCTTGACAGTAGAATCAGAGCCAGGGCTTAATTCTTAACATAACAAGACACAAGGCATCCCAATGGGTGGAACAGTATTTATTCTGCAAGAGTGAGAAGAATGCCGGTGCTGGCATATAAGGCAGTTGTATCTGAATGAATATTTTTATTTCTAATAGCTTAATGAATCAATAAAAGTTCAGTGTTCAGTATGTATTAAACCATGAGTTAATGTATATTATTTCTTAGGATACTAGTGATATAAAATTTCCCTAAAATTATCTAAGTAAAAGAAACAAGCCTATTGAAAAGAAAATATTAAATAAAAACATCAAAGGAATACACAAATGCAGCAAATACTATGAAAGCAGTTTATGAATGACAGCTTTGGGTATGATCTTTTAAACTAAGCATAGAACCTAGGTTATGTGTTTTTTAAAATGCATGGGACGAATTTATCCTGGCCATCATCATATTTCTTGGGCTAAATCAACCATGATTTCTTGGACTGCAAGGGGAAGCTGTGTTTGTTCCTGTCTCCTGGGGGTATAGAATGTGTCATAGGCATAGTGAGTGTAATGTCCAAATTTTCACAAGAGCACTATACTAAGTAGAAATGTAAAGCAGTCACCAACATATGATTGAGCCAGACCTAGTGGCGTGGATTGCCTAGGATAAGCCAGTCTATCCATTCTTCATATCCATTGTCAAGCAATCTCACAGCTATTTTCTTCCCTGAGCAAAAATGCAACATTTCACACCAAATTTATTGGCTTGACAAAGTTGCAAGTTTTATTACGCAAAAGTTGACAAAGCAATGTCAAAGAGTGCTAAAAACAGTACACTTTGCTACTGTGTAATATCTGTGGTTGGAGCTCAGGGTGTTTTATTTATAGATATCTATTAATACATAGCCAGAGATAAAGAAAGAATTACATACAAAATAGCTTTATCGAACAACTTCCAGCATTCAAGTGTAACATCCAAAGCAAGAGCAAGAATGGCCATTAGCAGGCTGTTCTATTGGGGAAAAACCATCTTCCTTGCCTCTTCTCTCCCTCCATGCCTTCCCTATCTGGGGATGATTGGCCACAGTGTTTTTCTTGGTTGTTCTTTGAGGGGTTGGTGGGTGGGCTGGGAAGGCACCTCCATATTTAAAAGCCTTCCTATTTGTCCAGTTCTTTAACCTCCCCCTCTCCTACCTCCCTCTCTAATAATTCCTTAAGGAGAGGTGGAGTGGAAGCACCTAGCTTGTAAAACTGGTTTGTTGGAGTTCTTCTCTCCTCCCCTCCCCTTGATTCTTGGGAAAATTTATTCCTGGGAAGCTACTGGTTCACCAAAGCTGCCGTCTCTGGACTTGAAGGAGGATTGCCCTTCCTCCTGGAGGAGGAAAACCGGGCTGCTGCAAGAGGTAGAGACGGAGAGATGATCAGAGGGCGGATTCCACCCCTAGTCCCAACACATACAAACACAACACATGTGCGCCTTGCAAACTCAGGATTCAAAAACTGGGAACAAGATTATACTCGGAAAGATGGAACCTTCCCAGATCTGAAATCCTGCGTTTTGATTTGCAATCTACTTTCCCAAAGCTTTAGAGGGCCGGGGAGGGTACGAATCGCCGCCCAGGTTTGCATTTCTTCCACCTGACACATTCACAGGTTGGTAGAGTCAGGACAGGTGAGGAGGGAGGGAGGGAGGTAGGAAGGCACTTGGGCCGTCTTCTTGAGCTTCACCTCTCCAGCTGATGGTTGGAGCTTCGGGCACCTGGGCACCTGCAGGACAAGGCGAGGGAGGGGGGCGGGCAGGCGGGTGGAGGGTCGCTCAGTCTGGTCACTGAAGTATATTTACGAAGGCCGAGGGCGGGGACGGGACGGTCATTTCCGGGGAGGGGCTGGAGACAGGTTGGTCCTGACAGTTGTCAATGTTTGGTCAAATTTGCCAGGAGGTTTAAAAAAAAGTGGGGGGGGGGAGGGAGGGGAGGAGAGGGAGTCCCAGCCAAGACACATTTCCCAGCCACCATTCTTCCTCGGGAGGGAAGCTTGGACCTTGTGAATGTGACATCAGCTCTTCCAAGGTCCCAGCCCAAGCTGGGGCAGGCAAAGCTAGCTTCCTGCTTGGGCCCAGCTCTAGGGAGAGTGGTGGCCTCTCTGGTCCCCAGGGCTGGGCTGAGGTAAGCAACGCGGAGGCTGAGGGCCCCGCTGAGGCCCTGGGCATCGGGTGCAGGCATCTTCGGGTGCGTGTGTGGGTGTGAGAGGGAGGGTTCCTGCCGTTCCCCCCACTCCAGCTCCTACTGCAGGATCTCTTTTAGGAACAAATGTCCTTAGAGACCTGACACTGCTGCTGTCTCCCCAGCCGTGACTTCCAGGGAGGTCCAGGGGCTCAAGTATGTCCAAGTCCACAGCTTCAAAGTTGAGATAAAATTTGCTCTTTTGATTCTAGAGGTGAAGAAATGGTTCCATCGGATCCTCCTGTGTTGTCCTAGGATTAAAAGTGAACCCACCTCCCAATCCCCAGGGAAAATTGGAGTAAAACAAGATGGGGAGATGAAAGAGGGGTCTATCTGGTGTCATCCTTAAGTCTTGGTATAGACTGCTTTTTCCTGTGCAAGGGAAAGGCCCTAAGTGGATGGCGTAGGTCTTACAGGCTGGCTGGGAGAACTGGGGTGCAGCATGTATATTCGAGGTCCTTCCACTTTCTCATCTGAAAAATGGGGCAGTGTTTTCTATGTATGTTCTGCTTTATTCATTAAGGCATGTTGTCACTTGCACATTGACTTTGCTGTGGGCACCTCAAGGGGGAGGTATTTCAAGGTTAAATAGACAGGAAATTGTTTTGAAAATGTAAACACATTATTAAATGTGAGCTATTATCTTATCCCTTATTCAGCAAGGGCATTTCCTTCTTCCCAACACCACCCTTACGGCATATTCACGTAGCCCTGTTCCAGAGCGCCCTGTTGCCCTAAATAAGGAAAACACGGGGATAAAAAGGACTCAGGAAAGCTGCCCGCCTGTAAGGAGTGAATGGAAAAAGCGCGCCCCCTTTCCCGTCTTAGGCGCGCCATTCCCGGCCTTCCTGGGCCCTGGTCACAGGTTCTTCTGTGACCTAGAAGCCAAAGCTTTTACTTTTTGTCTTGATAAACATCAGCCCCTGTGGCTCTTCGTCTCCCCCTGGTGTTCTTCTCCTGCCATTTCTTAAATCAGTGATAGTGACAGTGGGACAATACCCTGGGGAAAGGGTGGGCACGAAAAGGAATTTATGGGGATTTCTAGCCAGTGATTTTGTGTGTGTGTATGACAGCTATGTGGGGGAGACAGCTATGTACCTGACACAGCTCTAGTTTTTTCTTAATTTCTCTTCCTTGGCAATTCCTCACCGATCTTTCTCACCATGGGCATAAATGAGCTTTAGCTAAAAAAATAAAATAAAATAAAAAAGCAACAGATTGGGAGGAGGAAGTTGGAAGTAAAAGTACCTAATCTGCCAAAATATTTTGACCCCCAGTGAGGGGAGGGTGAAGAGGGGGAGTGTCCCCTTTTGATAGAGACTGAGAAATCGGAGAGACAAAAAAGGAGAATGCGGCGAACACAATGAAAAAAAATTCCCCCGCACACACAATACAATCTATTTAAACTGCGGCTCATACTTTTCATACCAATGGTATGACTTTTTTTTTTTTTTTTTTTTTTTTTCTGGAGAACCTCTCTGATTCTTGAACTCTGGGGCTGGCGGCTTGTAAAGGGGAAGCCGGCTCCAGCCCTGCACGGGCAGGTTTACCAAAGGTCTCTAATGGGTATTTTCTTTTTCTTAGCCCTGCCCCTTGGATTGTCAGACGGCGGGCGTCTGCCTCTGAAGTTAGTAGTGATTTCCTTTAGAGCCTGCCCTTATCTCCGGCTGCACGTTGCCTGTTGGTGACTAATCACACAATAACATTGTCTAGGGCTGGAATAAAGTTAGAACTGTTTACCCCCACTCTATAGGGGTTCAATATAAAAAGGCGGCGGAGAGCTGTCCAAGTCAGACGCGCTTCTGCAGTGCGCCCTGGCTAGTGGTCCCAGTCGGTCGTCTCCGCTGCGTCCTCGCCACCGAGCGGCGTGCGCTTGCCGACTGCGGCCACTGCACTGTCCCCTGGTAGACACCGCTGGCTGTTTTTCCTGAGAAAGGACACTCGGGCTGAAGGATCACTCGGAGATCTGAGCAACCAGAACCTCGTGGAGGGAACTGCGGCCGTGGTCTTCGCTTTCCTTTGGTTCAGTTTGCAGGGAAGGCTTTTTGATTCCTTTTCCAGAATGGATTATTTCCCAGTGATTTTCTCGCTGCTGTTTGTGGCTGTCCACGGAGCTCCAGGCACAGGTAAGCAGGCTGACTTGTAAATCTCTGAACGTTCGCTTTTTTTGGGATCCATCTTCATGTTTTCCTTGCTTCTGTTTTTCACGCTTCTTTTTATTATTGCAGCTCAGATAGCAAGTGCCTGGCAAGTGTTGGTTAAAGCTACTTAAGTGTCCCAGTGATGAAAACAAAATTCTATTGAATACAATTGACTGCAGTTAAAGACAGCGTAGCTTTTAAAACTTATTTATATTATTGTGGAATGTATTTCCTTGCCTTTTAAAAATAATTCAAGACTACTAGAAAGCAGTTATAATTTAGCCAAATGTATATTTGCAGTATGTATGTTCATACAGGTATGCGGCACCTTTAGAAAGTTATATGTCTTATTTAAACACTGTTTTAATAGTGTGTTAATGTGTAAAATATTTAAACATTCCAATTCAAAGCCAAGGAATTTTATTCAGGTCATTCAAGCAATCTGTGTGCAGTAAACTCACCTGCAGAACAGTGCTGAACAACCTCCCCAGGCAGTTTCAGGGCGAAGCAGATGTTTTCTTTAAAGTTTGTCATTATTGACTTTAGGTTTCATTTGGCAGGTTTTTGGCACCTAAAACAGTGTGAGCACTCTTTTCAGTTGTATCCACCTGTCCTGGGAGGAGCTGGGCTCATTCTGGGCTGCTTGAGGATTTAGACAGTGTGTGTGTGTGCATCTCCTTTTTTTAGGGTCAATGCACTTTTTTTGTCTTTTCATGACCCTGACCAAAGAGAAAGGATGTCAAGGGAATGGAAATCCTGGAATGTGTCTGATCATTTGAAATAGCAAAATTGGGCAGATAAGCTGCATGGCTAACTTTGTCAGGAGGAAGAGTTGATGCTGTATCTGGGGCGGAGGGAGGTGGGTATCCCACAAAAGCCACGCTGCTCCAGGGACTTTAAATTCATAATTGGCAGAGCTGCTTCTCAGCCTCTTCTCAGGTCACTGGTTTCTGTGGCATCTCCCATTAGAAACGAGTATTGCACTTCATTTCTCTTCTCTTTGGTCATTCCCTGGTGCTCTTGCCTGGCTGGTCTCAAAGAGGTGTATGTCTTGTGGACCACTCTGCCCCTCACAGAAGGCGTGAAGTAGTGGGTATCCCCTTCCCGAATGGGGCCATAGATTCAAAGCTAGAAATATGATTTATTTATCTGAAGTCATCAGCCAACTTTAACCTATGGTGGGTTGTGCTGTCCTACTAAGTTTTAAGCAGAAGCCATCTCAGATCTGCATTTCCAAGCATTTCCTTGAAGGCTACCTGAAGAGGGGAGCTATATCTCTTTCCAGGTGTTTATCTCCTCTGCGTTTGTATAATCGCTCTGCAGGTGGCTTAGCCAGCCAGGGTAAAGGTGAAGTACTGTTTGGGGGTGGGGGTGGGGATGGGGGTGAAGAGCGGTTTCCTTCTGGGTGTGTTTCTGGCTAAGGGCAGCTGTATGCTTCATCTGCTATGCTAGATCCAGCATAAACACTGTGATCAGTGTGTCTCCGGGCGTCTGAGGTGACATCCCCCACTGACCTGCTTGTTCTTTCCCTCCGCAGTGGCACCGGGAGGTGAGCTCAGCACCAGGGCTGAGAGCAAAGGAGACAAGCCCCCTCCTAGCGCGCCCTGGCGGCCCCGCAGGTCCAAGCGCTGCTCCTGTTCTTCCCTGATGGACAAGGAGTGTGTCTACTTCTGCCACCTGGACATCATCTGGGTCAACACTCCCGAGTGAGTCTCTAGAGGGCATCATAACTCTAGTCGTTCATTAGCTCTGGATTCCCCAGAGCCAGGAGCCCAGTTACTGGAGTTCTGTTATGGGGAACCCCTGGGTTGGATTCAGATGGTAGCTTTTCTGACAGTGCTTGAACAGAACAACCTGGGTCTTAGCAATTAAGCAGAGGGTCTTCTGAGTCCCGCAAGGGTTTATCTAACTGGGTTTAGGAAATAAATTGCCCAGGTCCTAAGTGAGTTAACTCAACCCTAGTGCTTGTTGTAGGAGGGGAGAGACTGAAAAGAGAAAGGGATTACACAGAGTTATAACCCAACCCCTTTATTATACTTATAAAAAAGCAAAGGCTCAAAATGTTGAAGTCTCTTCTGCTGGAATGAGTTTGTGGCAGAACTAGAACCAACTCGCTCTTGAATCTCCTATGAATGCCCTTTTCCTCTTTAGAAAACCCAATTTTAAGACAGAGCTATAAATGCGGCCCATAAGTTTCCCTTCTACCTCTAAAGTAAAGAAAGGTAGTGTTTTCCCCTTTTGCCCCAAACATTACTTCATCTGTTAAAAGTAGTCATAAACAAGAACACATCTATTGTGTCTGCCATGTCTATTATGGCAAAGGATGGCCAGAATCCAAACAAAATCAAAATCAAACCAAACCCAAAACACCACGAGCCTAATACTCACTAAGGTGGTACTTCCAAGAAGACAACTTTCTTCATGTGAGAATTAAAATAGACACACTGCAAATTATTGGAGAGTCTTTTGGCAGTAAACCCTTCTGCAACCATATAGTTTTGTCAAATGGCAGGAGAGATGTTCAAATGTGTCCTTTCCCCAAAGCACTTTTAGCATTATCATGTATGAATGGAGTTGAAATAGGTTTTAAAAATCTTATGAGTCAAACTTTGCATTAAAGTTTCTGACCCACCTCCCAAGTAGTTGTTAACTAAACATCAAATTGGAAAAGGAAGAAAATATGAAACAGACACCAACACAGAGATGTCACAATTTTGAGAAAGGAAAAAAAAATGTTGCTATGTCAAGAAGAAATTGAACTTTGTTAAGGGTTGAGATGGAATTTCATTGAATAAGAAAATCTTATTGAGTACACACATTTAGGTCCATTGATAGTCATGTGTTCCTGATTATGCCTACAATTTACTATCTTAATTTATGCTCCCAACTACTGTGTGACTAGCTCCTTGTATACCCAAGGGTGTGAAGTGGGCTCAAAGAATTGTCATTTGGAAGATTATTAACTGTGCTAATAACTTTTATTCCTTTCTCTCTACAAGGCATGTTGTTCCATATGGGCTTGGAAGTCCTAGGTCCAAGAGATCCTTGAAGGATTTATATCCTACAAAGGCAGCAGACCAGAAGAATAGATGCCAGTGTGCTTGCCAAAAAGACAAGAAGTGCTGGAATTTTTGCCAAGCAGGAAAAGAACTTGGGTGAGTAAAAACACCTTTGCTTTTCAATCACCTGCTCAGCCTCCCAACCTCCTTCCTATTATGAGGATACCTTCTTGTTTTAGAGGGAGTAGCAGAGACATTAAGAGTCAAGGTGAGTTTGAAGATATCATCAATGAAACGTTTTTTTCCCTGTATGTCTTAACAGAGCCCAAGACACAATGGAGAAAGACTGGAATAACCAGAAGAAAGGGAAAGACTGTTCCAAGCTTGGAAAGAAGTGTATCCATGAACAGCTGATAGAAGAAAGAAAAATGAGAAGGTAAGAGTCTCTTCTTATAGAACAGCTAACCCTGGGCACCAATGCTGATGACTTACTACCCTAATCCTTCCTAACTAGGTGGGGAAAAGGCTTAGAATACTATGGTAAGAAAGATAATTGTAACAGTGTTTGGATAAAAACAGCAAAGGAATCCCTCTTAAAAATTTTCATGCAGGTCTTGAATGCAGACTCCTGCCCACTGTCCTTTAGCAGACAGCATTCAGCCTACAGGCAGATTTTCCAAACTAAATGTATCCAGGGACACCACTGTCCTTTGGTCATATCTAGTCTTTCCCTCTCTGAGTCCCTGTATTTACCACTGTCCCTGAGAAATTAAAAATCATTTTAGGGAGAGAACATTTTTCTAAAAAATCAAAGTGTTATATATAATGAAGTTCTTCAAAAAGTAGCTGTTATTCAAATGGCCAAGGGGAAAAGAAAGCCATTAGGTAGGGTTGGTGAGGTTTAGAACATGCTGTTTTTTCAGGTTTATTCTTCTTATTTTTTAAATAAGGAAATGCACTTGTGGAGAGCCAGTGTCATTCCAAAAAGCTCTCCAGTTTCCTAGTCCATCGTGGGCTGGGACAGAGATGCAATCTGGACCAGGCAATTCTACAGGGCAGCTCTGAGAAGATTTATGATAATGAGCTTTCCAAATTCTAAACTTTTAGAGATTCATAAGCTTGAGGGACAAAACCGATGCTCAAATCTGTCACATAGACCCTATCATGGTCTATGGAAACTGTTCTGAGAAATCCAAGGCCAAGAAGTTCCATAATCAAAGTGTTCTGAGCCCAGGCCTGGCAGTCTTCTGAGCTGTTTGCTGCTCATTTGTGGGACAGCCTTAGCCAGCAGCATTCCTTCACACCTGCCACTGAAGTGTCCCTGTTGTGTTTGTCACCTCAAGAATTCTCCCCACCAGATCACAGTTGCTGAATGGACCTGAGAAGTTTTGTTGTTCCTGTTAGTTTTTAATTATGCCAATTATTAAATCAGTATTAGAGTTCTTCCCCCTTTCCATTTCCTGGAAAAAGAAAAATTGAGCCTGCAATTTTTCTAATTGCCATAAGGTATTTGCTTTAGGTTTACCTATAGGCTTCTTTTTTCCCACCTGTTGCCTTCAATTTCTTATGTGATTTAGAAGAAGATGCTCATGACTATTTGAAACCTGGAGGATATTGGGATGGAGCTTATAGAAAATACCAGAACATCTCTGGTTTATTTAAAAATTGTATTTAGTGCCCAATACTCCTTAGACATAACCATATGGTCCCTCTTCCCCAATGTAAGCATAAGGGACAGGCTTTATTTTCACAAGAGTGATGGATACCACTTGAGGTTTTATAAAAAGGTAGCACACTCTTGTGGTTGTGGTTGGTGGTAAAAGTTCAGGAGTCAGATTGAGATATGTTGTGCCACATTCGAATTTTAGATGTTTCCTTAGCCAAAGAGTGACTTCTTTTCTCTCTTTTTAAAAATAACATTTGTTTTCTATTGTCTTGTTTTAATAGGTTGGAAGCCATCAGCAACAGCATCAAAACATCTTTTCGTGTTGCAAAGTTGAAAGCTGAGCTCCAGAGGGGGCAGAAAGTGACCCACAACCGAACACATTGATTACAGATTTCAGGGCCCGCCTGATGCCATTGTCCCATAGAGAGAGCCCTGTTGCCGACTCTGCACCTTCTCCATAGTAGCTGGGATCATAGCAAGAGAACCCTCCCTGCTCAGACCATGTCTTGTTCACACTGGCAAAGGACCAGCATTCTTCCAAACATTCCAAGAATGGTTAAGGAGTCCCCCAAACTGTCTTCATTTGCTTCCCTTGGTAGTAACCGCTTTTGTCTCTTCTTGCTGCTTGGAAATGACAATGGACCTCTTAGAGACACAGTGACACTGGATTAGGGTGGCAGCTCTAGAGGCAGGAAGGAGATTCCACATGAGGGTGGAGTTTCTGAAGAAAGTCCTAAGGGAGTGTTTGTGTCTGACTCAGGCGCCTGGCACATTTCAGGAAGAAACTCCAAAGTCCACGCAAAGATTTTCTAAGGAATGCACAAATTGAAAACATACTCGAAGGACAAACTAGAAAAAAAAAAGATTTTTTTAAGTCATAAAATACAAAGCTGAATGAAGCTGTTACTACTGTAAATCAGGATGTGTTTCATGAATATGAGTCTACCTCACCTATATTGCACTCTGACAGAAGTATTTCCTGCCTTTAATTATTACCTTCCCAAACTCTTTCTCCTCCTGCTACAACCTCATAGCCCTCCATACTAAATCCTAGCCTGGCCCAATGTGTCAGTAGTAGATAAAACATTTTCATGCTAATCTACTAGCTCTGATCCATAAAGAAAAAAGGTCATTGAATCAAGATATTCCCCTTCCTTGATTGTAAGGAACAGAATGGTATAAGGCTGTTTATGAAAGATGCTGAAAAACGTGTTATGCTTTAAAGCAGTAAGATGATTTTCCTTTATGTAACTGGCTAATGGAAAAGGTTAGATAGAATTTTGATGTACTTATTTTTTTAAAGGTATTTATATGCAAACAATTTATTCCTTATATTTACCATGTTGAATATATGTCTGGGCAGGCCATATTGGTCTATGTATTTTTTTAAAAAATGTATTTCTAAATGAAATCGAGAACATGCTTTGTTTTGCCTGTCAAGGTAATGATTTTAGAAAATAAATATTTTTTCCCTACTGTACTGATTGTGAATCATTTCTGAAATTCCTGTGGAGTGGGCCATTGAGGTAAGAATGAAATGCTAAGATGGCATCATAGGAAGGTGTCATTAGAAGGAAAATAGTCTAGTCTAATTTTAAAAAGAACTTGATATATATCTTAAAAGTTTCTTTTAGATTGTGATAAGGTAAAAAACAAAACAAAAAAGAAAAGAAAAATAGCTTTAACTCCTGGAAAACTCTCCAGGGATTTCATCCATTAACTTCGAAGCTGGAGCTATTAGGAAGGATCTAACATCAGTTTAAGCTGATAATGTGATGAGAGATGCTTTCTCCATATTAATGGGCTGGAGGAAGTAATGGAAAGGTGACCCTCCAAAGTACCTAATTAAACACAGTTTTGCACTGGGGTTGCTGTTAGAAAAAGACCTACTTGCTCAGTGCAAGTATAGGCTCCCGATGCCTTTTTCTTTGTATTAAGTATATTGTTTGTTAAGAAACATTGAATACCACTGCATTTTCAGAGCCCTGTACTAGCCAAATGCCCATGAAAGTGCTGAATTTGGGCACCTGCCCTGCAGAACTAGCCTCTTCTCTACTTTGTCTGGTCTGGTTTGCTAACTATCAAACAGTGTGGTCATTACCAACAAAAGCTCAGAGGAGCTTGGTCAGCTTTTGAGAATCTTCACCATCCTTCTTTAAGGATGAACATTCAACAAAAGTCAGTTCATGATCAGCACTGCTGTCCTAATAGCTACATAACAGGAGGCTGTCCAATAACAATCTTCAGGAGTGCATAGCTAGTATCTCGGAAGAGTGTTCATCTTTAATGGAATTCTTTTCATCTTTTAGCTTTTGATTTTTTTAAAGCACAGTCTAATGTCTTTGGAAAATTCCTTATAAAACTTACTTTACCTAGCAAACTATTTCAATATTTAATTCCCTTCAGTTCTCAAGGGAATTAAATTTTGTTCACATTGACAAGGTGCTTGGCCTAAATTTAGCTACCACTTAATCTTGAGCAAACTATTCAATCCCTCCTGATGGCAGGAGTTTCCTCAGCTGTTCAATGGGGGAATTTTTTATTTTTCTGACAGCTCCTAGAAAAATCTGAGATTAAATGAAGATGTTGAGGAGATAGAAAGAATATGAAAATCTGAGCTTAGAGAATGTGGATCTAATATATTTAAGAGGAAGGTGGGATGAGAGAACCCAATGAGTGACACAGTTCAAAGAAGAGCATAGCCAAAAACAGTAATAGAGTTGTTTTTTAATCAATTAAACTTTTAAGTTCCCCTCCCTCATGCTTCCTGCTTCAGTAACTAGCAAGAAAAATGGAAGACATGAAGCAGTTTCTCTCCAGCAAGAGGATTAGAAGTAAAATAAGTTGGGGGGCTCATAGGCAATTCATAGTTTTCAAATGTGTGGAGAAAGATTCAGTAGTACTCATGACCCATGCAAGCTTGAGGGGTGAACTGATGGGATGGCCCATCACTCTTCCTGCTGGTTTTCCAATAAAAGCATGCTTTCTGGAAGCCAGCTAGGACAGATTTCTCTCTTCACACTAATAGCCCAGCAGAGCTTTGATCTCAGGACTCTAAGGACTAGTGGACCCTGGGCTGGGAGAGGTGACCTTTGGTGGGGAGAGTAGGGAGAGGACCCCACTAATGAATACATCCCCCTCCCCCCAGGAATTGGCTTTATTTCTACCTCTGCTTCCCTGGTACACAACTCAGGAAATTCTTCTCAGCTCGAGTTCCCTCAGGAAAAATCTGATCACACTGAGAAAGAGTGATTTTTGTCTTTTCAGGTAAAAAAGCCAGAATCACACTGTGGCATCTCAATCTTAACAGATGGTTCTCAATCTAAACTCACTGGTAGTGACCGGCAGACCCACCTACTCAAAGTAAAAAGGAAGAAACAAGGTTGTGGGTACAACTCAGTGGTAGAGCACTTGCCTAGGATTCATGAGGTCCTGGGTTTCATTTCCAACGCAAGAAAGAAAGAGAGAGAGGGAAGGAGGGAGGAAGGAAGGGAGGGAGGGAGGAAAGGAGGGAGGGAGGAAAAGAGGGAGGAAGGAAGGGAGGAAGGAAGGAAGAAAGGGGAAGAGAAAAGGGGCTTAAAGAGGCAAATTTCATCACATCATTAAATGAATTTCTAATAATAGAATATGAAAGAAGGGGGATTCTTTTGATCAGTTTTCTTTCCCTCTATAATGCAAAACAGTGTATTTTTAAAATTGCTTTGTCTAAAGTCTTGAAAATGCCCATTTTAAGGACATGTTTTCAATGTGTACAGCACGTTGTTTTCATCCCGTGTTGTCGATGGGCTTCATTTGGCCTTGGCTTTCTATCACTGTTGTACTCATGTTTCTGGGATTCTGATTCTAGGCTAAGGATGAATCTGTGACAAGTGAGTATTTTTGTTCCTGTGACCTTGAAGATACAACTATAACTTCCATCTTTGTAGAGAGCTTGGTTTCCCATAGCATTGTCACATTTCTTCTCTTATAACCCTTCTCCACAACAATTCTATCTGGAAGTTGGAACTATATTATATGTCAATTTAGCAGCCAAGGAAATGGACATATTAAAAGAGTGACTGCCTTGTCCAGAGTCCTATAGCAGGGAAATAGAAATATTGGATCTCAGGACCCCTGGCTCTTTTTCTATACTCTCTTAAGAGCAGAGAGGATAGTCTTGGTACTGTAGAAAGGTAAGTTATTTCCACTTTGCAAATGAGCTGTGAGTGGAATTAAATTTTTATTTCTCTCATGACAATCAGCGTTCTACATACTCCTGAGTCCTCATTGTGAACATTTCAGTTGTATGGTATTTTGTTTACTATGTCATCCTAATCATGCCAATGCACAGACAGCAGAACCCCTACCTCAAACTCTGTGCTGTAGGGGGCTTCAGTGGAGCCAGCATTTAAGTAGGAACTGCAGTTGGTGAGTGATGGTAAGGACCATGAAGTTACCTCAAATCCTAGGCAATGATCAGAGAAAGAGCCAAGACTGGTACCACTGCATAACGAAAAGAGAAGGACCAGGACTTGGGGACACAGGATGATGGAAATGATGGGTTCTGAGAATGACAGGATGCCCACAGCCAGAAGAGACAGCACACTGGGAATCTGACATGCAGTTTTGCTGGCTTAGAATCTTTCAGGTTTCTGTATCCAATTCTTCTCTTTCCTATTATGAGTAACCCAAGGACCCTCTGCCCAAGTTGCTGGGGAAGTACGCAGGGACGACATTCACAATATTACCCTATCACTGGCAGAGCACAGGCGCTGATCAATTGGAACAGACTAGGGTGAACTGTGGGGCAGGCCCCTGGTGGACTCCAGCTGGACAGGGTGTTAAAACTCCAGATGTTGGCTATGAAGAGTTCCTGTGATGTGTGGAAGGTGCAGGCCACCAGGGTTGAATTTCCAGGCTTCTTGCTGCTATGGATATTTACCAACAAGGATGAAATCATTTCAATATTTCCCAAAGTAAAATAGTCTCCCTGGTGTGCCCCTGTGTATGGCAAACTTAGAAGAATCAAACTGCTTTCTGCTTGGCAAATTATCCCCTTTACAGCATCACTGAGTGAGATTACATTGTCTCCATGTCTGTAGAAGTTTGGGACCAAATCTGTCCATGTACGCTGATTGTCCTTCTGTATTGCTATTCCTCTCGCTGCTCATGTTCCCCTCACCCTTGCTCTGGGCACCTCTGGTGGAGGTGGAAATGACTTAAGAGCTTTTTTTGTCTTCTTGGAGTTTTATCAGGGCAATTTTAATGGTTCCCAAACTCGAGGTTTACCTTAGACTGGGGATTGTTAAGGTTCTGGGTTTGCGTTAGGAAAAGTCACAAAGAAGAAGTTGACATAAGATTGAATCTTGCTCTCTTGGATCAACTGTGGACATTAAGAGTGGCCA